TTCTGTAGGATAAATAGAAATAAAATCTAAGTTTATTAGGATCATGATGCAAATGATTATAAGAACTTTAGATACACATGTTTTAATCTTCATTCTTTTTCTAAGGCAAAAAACGGGCAGAAAAAATCAGTGTTAGTGTTAGAAATTCTTCTGAGGAAGCAAAATAATTTCTTTACCACCTTATAGCTGTTTTCAAGAAATAAATGTTTATCTTACACAGGTTTTAGACAGATAAATAGATAGATAGAGAGATCTCTCCTTTGATTTTTTTCCAGTACTCTAGACATTATATTGAAATATTGAAATCTTTTTTTTTTTTTTGACCAGTAAGGGGATTGCAACCTTTAGCACGGTGTTGTCTGCACCACGCTCAGCCAGCGAGTGCACTGGCCATCCCTATATAGGATCCGAACCCGCAGCCTCAACGTTACTAGCACCGCACTCTCCCGAGTGAGCCCTGGGGCCGGCCTGAAATATTGAAATCTTTCTAACTCAACACTTCAGAATAGAAATTGGATTGACATTATTTTCCAATGCCACATTTCAGGTTTTCTGTTTAAGTAAAGCAAAAGTGAGAAGATTTTTTAAAAAGTAGTAAAAAGAAAAGTAAATTTTACACAAAGTTTATATTTAAAGCCATATGTGAATTTAAGAGAAACCTTTTCTGTTTTTATAGTCTGAAGAGTCCTTATACAAGTAACACTTCTTACTGTATTGAAGGTATTAGCCCAAATACCCTAATGTTTTTGTTTGATTTGGGTAATGTCTCCCTTTCTTCAAAGAATTCTTTTTAGTTTTTTCTTTAAATCCTTATATAGACTTGTAGTGTATTGTTTGTTCCGGGACAAATGAGGAAATAAGAGTGTACTTGAATGAGCAGTCATTCAGCAACCAAATTCTGTTGGAAACCACTGCGATAGATAGAGAGATCTCTCCTTTGATTTTTTTCCAGTACTCTAGACATTATATTGAAATATTGAAATCTTTTTTTTTTGACCAGTAAGGGGATTGCAACCTTTAGCACGGTGTTGTCTGCACCACGCTCAGCCAGCGAGTGCACTGGCCATCCCTATATAGGATCCGAACCCGCAGCCTCAACGTTACTAGCACCGCACTCTCCCGAGTGAGCCCTGGGGCCGGCCTGAAATATTGAAATCTTTCTAACTCAACACTTCAGAATAGAAATTGGATTGACATTATTTTCCAATGCCACATTTCAGGTTTTCTGTTTATGTAAAGCAAAAGTGAGAAGATTTTTTAAAAAGTAGTAAAAAGAAAAGTAAATTTTACACAAAGTTTATATTTAAAGCCATATGTGAATTAAGAGAAACCTTTTCTGTTTTTATAGTCTGAAGAGTCCTTATACAAGTAACAGTTCTTACTGTATTGAAGGTATTAGCCCAAATACCCTAATGTTTTTGTTTGATTTGGGTAATGTCTCCCTTTCTTCAAAGAATTCTTTTTAGTTTTTTCTTTAAACCCTTATATAGACTTGTAGTGTATTGTTTGTTCCGGGACAAATGAGGAAATAAGAGTGTACTTGAATGAGCATTCATTCAGCAACCAAATTCTGTTGGAAACCACTGCTTTTTTAATGCAAGAGTGTGTTTCACGTGTGTTCTCTGGCCATATGGTTAGAACTGATGTTTCTCACAACTTCAGGCATTTGGGGAATTTTAAGCATGGATGTGACACAAATGACAGAGAGAGAGAGAGATCTTCAAGTTAGAGTACATAATTTTCTTCATCTGATTCCCATGAAACTTTGTGGGCACACCAGTCCCTGACCTACAGATTTACCCTGAACAATGACTTAGAGCTTTGGAACTAAAAGGTTCTTTAAATATTATAATCCACCTCCTCTTCAGTCCCACTATCCTCTCCCCATCTCCATCCCACTTCTGCCAACCTCCCATTTTTTAGATGAGGAAAGTGAAGCCCCAAAACATAGTCAAGTTTCTTTCATTTTAAAAATAATCTACCCAGCCGCTGCGTCCCCCTGCCCTACCGTCCAGTCCAAGCATGTGGTATTTGATGTGTTTGGATAACCCTTTACGGAGTCCTCTCCCTTGGGTTCCGCTAGAACCACGTGCTGATGTTTTTGACCCCTCCTTCTCCGTGTAGATCACTTTCCCCTTTCTTCCTGTCCTTGAATGTCACTGTTCTCCTGAAGCTGCCTGCTAGACCATTCTTTGGATTTACAATTCCAGTTGCGTCTTCATCATGTCTGCTGAACAGCCATATTGTGTTGCCAGTCACAAATTTTTTATGAAAACTGTGATTTGCAACCTCTTCCATACTTGCAGGGTTTTGTTTGTTCGTTTTTCAAAGTGCTGTAACCTTGCGTTCCTGTCAGTGGTTCTGGCTGTTAGGCTGGGTTCTGTCAGTGAGGGTGAGGTAGCCATAGAAGTCGGCTTCTCAGCAGAATGTCAAATGAGCATAGATGTAGCATGATATTGGACGAGATGAAATGCACTGTCTGTCATTCTCTGTAAGACAAACTCTGATCCCTTCTAGTGGACTATCTCTGCCATTAGCATACTAGGCAGCTGGGTTGGTGTGGTGCTAGTGGACCAAGGATATCTGTAGTCTTTTCCTTTTTCTCCAGATGCCCTGCTTTTTTCCCTGGGACCAGGACTTCCTTATTCTGATAGTGGAGGCACTCTTAGGATATGGCAAATCAGGATGCCTACCCTAAATCTTGTTATATGAGGGTCTTTACCCACACTGGGTTATCATGGAGGGTTGGGGAGATAACTGCTGGAAAGTGTAGGGGAGATGGCTCATTTAATGGAGAGATGAGGTTGATATACATTTGCTTAGCCCATAAGTTCATTGTCGCCAAAGCTAAGTTGCCTCTTTCAGACTTCCATCTGAACTCCCCCTTCCTTAACTTTTTTGTTGACTTTGAGATTATTTGAAATAGATGATTCTTTTAAAGGTTGTATTTTATATTCACTTCAATGCAACTTCATTCATAAAAATGTTGAGGAAAGCTTTTATTGTTTTGTGTATATATAACAAATACGTATTTTTTTTTTTTAGGGGGGTGAGGATGGATTGCAGCAGCTTTTGATTAAAGCCCTAGCCTTTTTATGCTCATTTTTGCTCAGTATCCTCTAGGGAATATTAAGGGCCTCACCAAGGAGACAAGGTCCATATGCTGAGGGCAGAAATAGGGTGACCCCGAAGGTGTTTGTTACCATAAATTATTGTACATAGCAGTCCTCCTGAGTCTCTCTGGCAAATAATAGTTCAAAACTCACCTGCAAATAGTTCTCTGATGACTGATCAAAAGCCCAGCTCTTTACTGTATAAACATAGCAAGTCTTTCTAACTCTGCATATATATTACTGTCATCATTATTATCTCCAGATGAAATAGAACAGCCCAAAATGATGACTAGGCTGTCTACACTGATTTTAGTAAGAGGAAAGAAGCAGCATACATTTTTAGTGGCTCTATAATTTCATATTGTTGTTAGATTAATTTCCTGAAAACTTAATGTTAGATGAAGTATAATTGAAGATTTCCTTAAGAACCATTGACAGATACTTATCCTAAGTTATAAGCAACTCACACTGTGAAATGTGTGCAAACATTCTAAGTTTTCTTCCAGAAGAATGTACTTCATTGAAACCCAATCTTCACCAGTCTTTTTGATAAACACAGCCACTGAAGCTCAAAGTAGAAGTTGGGGGAACTTCCTTTTTTGCTACTTGTTTTTTTTTTTTTAAAGAAATTAATGTTGCCAGAACTTTCATTGTTTTTCAGGGAGTGAAATAAATCTTTGATAAGGATCATCTCAGAGACCTTACAACCTTTGGCTAAGGGGACTGACTACATTTTGAATGGGATAATACACTAGATAGTAAATTATGGTGTATTTAGGTATTGGCATTGTATGATGGAAAGGGGAATTTGATTTTTTTTTTAATTATTATGTGGTCTATTTAGTGCAGCTGTGTTTATGTTTCATAAATGGTAACTGCCTGAACATGGTGACAAGTCCCTACAAATGAGAATAGGAATTTTAAAAAATCATCTTGCCAACTTGCTTCAATTTGGATGGTTGTATTTATCAACTAGCAATGGCAAAAATAATTTCAGGCACAATCATTCAATACAGTTTGTTTGCTACCTCAGACATTTTGACAACTTGTAAGAAAAGTAATTGATACTTTAAATGCTGCATTTCACAGTGGAATAAATTTGGAAATGGTAGAATTTTTTTTAAGAATAATCACATTTCTTTAACCATTGTTTTGGCTGATTTAACTTCTTAGTTATTAAAAATGTGTGCTAGGATCTTAAATGTAGATCAGTCTTGTAGAAAATGAACAGTCCCATGTTTTTGCTTTCTCATTAAAAATAAATAAGTAAATGAACATGTGTCCATGGCTGTAGCAAAGAGACAGTTGCTTATGACAGAAAAAAATGTATACAAATGAATAGCTGTGTGAATTAGACAGTAATTTCAGAATTGTATATGACATATGAAATGCTGAGGGGCAGAGGCCTAATGATTAGTTTCTAGAGGCATTTTCTTTATTTACATCCCTCATAACTCAAATTAATGTTTATTCCTATTCTCTCATATTGCCAAAATATTTTCATGAATTTGGATTAGAAGCAGCATGTTCTGGCTTGTTGTGCAACTTTGTTTCATGAAGCAGTGATATTTAGAAGATTTTTGTATGTCTTAGAAGCTTTAATTATCTTATGTTGAGAGAGGAAATAAGATCAAGTTGTCAGAGTTATGTAAGAAAATAAGAGTTCATACTCTGCTAATTTTATATTACCACATAGTTAATGTCTTTCAAGAAATTTGATCACTAATTTGAACAATGTCGGCTACTAAGTAACTAGCAATCTACAGTCTCATTAAATTCAAGAGAGCACTACTGAGTCCAGAATTATTTGGGCTGGCCTTTATTTTTGAATTCTCAGAGTGTTTGCCCTTATCTTTCCTTTTTTTCCCTCTCGCCTTCTCTCCACAGACTGGTGAAAGACAACAAGTGTTAGTAACAGAAGAATCCTTTGATTCCAAGTTTTATGTTGCACACAATCGATTCTATGAGCAGGTAAGAGGCACTTCAGTATTCTTGAGTTTTCTCCAAAACGAGAAAGAGTTCTGAAAGCTTCAGGCAAAAGGGATTTAAAAGGAGAGAGGGTTGAATCTTGTTGCAACAAGACTATTTTATAGCATCAAGCCGGCCAGGCTAAAAAGGGGCTTATCTTTGTGGCTTATTCTACAATACATTCTATTTGAAGGAATAAGTGTGTTTAGTGTGTTTTAGTCCACATTAATCTTTAACAAGACCAGCCTTAGGCTTTTGGGAGTTTGGAACTAGGCAGTTAGGAAGGCCAAAATTCCTACCTCCTAGCAAAGTAGGTGTGGCAGGGAGGCCTGCTCAGAGGACAGGAAGGATGTCTGCATGGGTGACATAAGCATGGAAGGGCAGGGATTTCCTCTCACCGTCACATCAGTCAGATAGTTTTTTTGTTCAGTTGGTCGGTTGGTTTTTCAGTTTTATTTACTTTTAGTATTTGTTTTTTTTAACTTCTACCTTGATAAAGAGTGCTGGGAGCAGAAGAAAAACAGGCTATTCCTTGAGCTCTGTTCAAATTGTGTGAACAACTATAGAAACCAGTGTGAGAATCAAACCAACTTCACTTTGTGAGTCATGGAGGCCATCCCTACGGGCTCACCATTCACTAGCCTTCCTTCCCAGCCTATCTAAGGAGCCCAACTTCTGTTTCAGCATTTGAGATTCCACTTCTGTAGATGGGAAAGCAATTCAAAAGTGACTGAAGAAAACAGAGTGCCTCCTTCAGGGGCATGGACCTTGACAAGGGCCAAGGAGGAAATTGGATACACCCTCTTAGGTGGGAGACTCCTGGGGGTATAGGGATTTTCATGGTCATTCTGGATTATATTGACATTTTTAAAAAATCAAGTGAGTTTTCCTACTTTTCTGTTCCTTTCTCACTAGATGAGAAGTGAAAACTTTTTCTGTGGGTCACGGCTATACTTAGAGCTTGGGAAGACCCTTAAGGCTAGTGTGGGCAAGCTCGATAAGGGATGGGCAAGGGAATCAGGAAACCAATAGCTGAAGAGGCGACCAGTGTTGATGTTTCACATGGAATAACCTCAAAAGGCAGTGGGTGTTCAGGAAACATGGGGGGAGCTTTTCAAAGCCCAGACTGAACATGCTCTATTCTACTCTACTGAGACTACAGCTGAGGAAGGATTCACAACACTCCATGTTTGAACTGAGTCTCTTCTCTGTTTCCCATCTTGTTAATAGACTCCAGAGAGCCATTTTTCTATTCAGGCCAACCTTCTGCTCGGCCCTGGGGAGGACTGGATTTGGGTTGTCTCTTTCCTCTCCTTTCTCCTGCCATCTGGTTTTTGCCTCAGCAGGGAACTTTTTCCCCTTCATTTTAAAGGCAGTGGCATGCCTCATTAGCTGTTTCCTCCAATTTAAAGCAGCCGGGCCTTTTCCAATTATTAAAAACCGAAGGAGGAAAAAACACAGCCCTTCATTCAGATCAAGGCATCAGATCAAGGAAGGTTATTTTCCCCTAGAATAGTACCAAATCTCCCAGGGATATAGTTTGCTCTAGAGATTTTCTTATTTTATGGAACTTGATTTAAAAGGGCTTTCATATCCTGATACTAAAGCTCTTTTAGTTGTTTTGCTTACCATGAGTAATTCACCACCCAGGTGACCCTTTTCCTATACTTTGATGAGCATTGTACTAAGTGGTCATAAAAATCAAACCCAGAAAGACCAAGATAAAATTTTGCCTCTCAGAGAAATTGGCTGTGGAACTTCTGGTTCTCATGTAACAACTAAGCACATCAAAGATTTCATAGGAATTATTATTGTAAATAAGATGATGAGTTCCAGAGGTAAAGATTATAACTAGATATCAGAGTATTGATGGATTAGAATTGGTCTTTTTATTTTGGATTCCAACTTGAAAAGATTGGCAAGTAGCTCCAGTACTAAAATAGAAGTGTAGGGGCCGGCCCGGTGGCGCACTGCTACAGTGCGCCGCTTGGGAGCACGGCGGCGCTCCCGCCGAGGGTTCGGATCCCACATACAGACCGACCGCTCACTGGCTGAGCGAGGTGCGGGCGCAACACCGAGGGTTGCGATCCCGTTGCCGGTCCCGGTCCGGTACGGGCACGACACTGAGGGTTGCGATCCGTTGCCGGTCACGAAAAAAGACAAAAAGGAAAAAATAAATAAATAAATAAAATAAAATAAAATAGAAGTGTAAGGGAGACCTGATGCATGCAAACTACCTGTAAGTCCCAAAGGAGCAAAACATTTGCTCTAGGCAAACAAGTACTTTTATCAGTAATCTCTAGTGGAAGGAGACCATCTGACAGCTTCCTGTGAACTAGCCAAAGCATCCTTTAGAGTAGCTGGTTCTATATGGAGGTGGGCTCCCAGGACACATGCTTTTTCTAACACAGCAAAAGAAATGAATGGCAGCTGTTAGTTGGGGTGAGGGGTGGGGGGACAGTCATTTAGCTCCAAATGCCAATGTTTTGAGTGATTGAAAAGGTTGCTTTTAAACATTCATCCTTCTCTGAACCATGCGCACATGCATGCACACACACATCCTCATATACACACAAACATGCAGGCCTCTGTTTGAAGTGCCTACTCAAGCCATTACTCTGACAGCTAACTTGGAAGGAATTAAAAGTATAAGGCTTTCATCAGTATTGTCTCAGTTTTCTTCATTGCATGAGACAACCAAGAGCAGAATATCAAAGGCCTGTCCAAAAGTGCTGGCTGATTGCTGGGGGGTTTCCCAGGTCTGCCTTCCACATGCCTCAGGACAGCAGGCGTCCTGCAATAGAAGAGCACTCTCTATAGTCTGGGAGCTCCTCCCAGAAATGCCTTCCCTTCCAAAGGATCCCCAGATCCTTGAGCAGTTGGAAGATAGCGCCCACTTTGGATGGGATCCTAGAATAGAAAAAGGTCACTAGGAGACAACTGAGAAAATCTGAATAACGTATGGACTTTGGTTAATAGTAGTATATCAATTTTGGTCATTAATTGTGTAAATATATTATACTAATGTAAGATGTAATGTAATGAGAGGGGAAACTTGGTGTGGGGTATACAGGAACACTCTGTACTGCCTTTGCAATAACTCTATAAATTCTTTGCAATAATCTTATAAATCTAAAACTGTTCTAAAATAAAAAGGTTGTTTTTAAATAAGACTTCTCAATTTTTTTTAAGGTTTTAGTGCCAAAGAACACCTCATTCATGGGGAAAATGGTTGAAGTGGACATTTATGAATCAGGAAAATATTTTATGAAAGGGCAGCCAGTATCAGATGCCAAAGTATACACGCCATCCATCAGCAAACCTTTAGCAAAGGGAGAAGTCTCAGGTTTAACAAAGGTAAGTAAAAGATGCTTTCCTCTCTAGCCTGCTAGTAACACAGCAGTTGTGGAAGCACAGTGATTCCAGACCACATTTCTGTTATCGTTTATAGTTCCCTTTTTGTGTATGCATGAGGCTTTAATCCTTTCTGGCAGATTGAAATCTGAATTAGAAAGGTGCGTTTTTGCTGATGCCTATAGCTTTGCTTCTCTGCCTGTAAAGGGAATAAGCTGTTTCTGTTTCCAGGCTAGAAGCAGAGGATAAAAGCTGTTATTTGCAGGTGAAAGATTTAACGGCGAAGATGATCTGATCCCTATGCTTCTGTATCAGTAGATCCTGAGTGGAAGGGGATAAGGAAAGGAACGTTTTCTTGCCTTATGATGCTGTTTATAGCATAGTAAAAACCTGCATTTGCACAGGCACTAAACCATGTCATATGTGTGGTTATGGTGCCTTTCTATAAGGTGTTAGCTGGATATCTACTTTAGTCATGTGGAGTGAAAATTAACCTTATTTTTTTTCTTTCTATAAAAAAGTAACCTGACCCCCATTTTATACCTTGGTAAATATGGCTGTTTGCCAAGCTTCCTCTTACATTTCATTGAGCTACAGTTGTAAAAGCTGATGGAGTGTGAAATGAAAATGTGTATCACATTTCTAAGCGTCATTTGATGTCCTTTCTCCAACACAATTGTTAAGTGCTCCAAAAAACGTACATAGCAGTGGCAACCTATGGAAAGACAACTGATATTTATCTGGCCATATGATTCCAAAACTGTTTTAATCTATCTATCTTTCCCCTCAAAATAAATTGCAAGGGCATGTTAATTGAAATAAAGGAAGTATATAGCTTTACTTTGGGAATAGCGACAGCGTACTATTATCTACATTCTCATGACTGTGGTTCTGGACTGTAGTATCCAACAGGAGTGACACCTCTCATGAGCTTGACAAGTGCATGTAAAGGATCTGGGTGCACACCATCTGACCCATAATGGAATGTTGTAGACTAGCTTTTGTCAAAACCCTGCCAAATGTGTCATCCTGCTCAGCCAGGAGAGAACGCTAAAACTTGATAAGCATAATCATTCATTTTTGCTATCGTTTTTATTTTTAAAAAATCCATACTGAGGAGTTGGGATAGATGGCCTGGAAGGAACAGTGTAATCTAGCTTTTAAATTATATTGCTAAAATAAGTCATGAACCAAGTCAGGAAAAATCAGATTCTGGTCTCAAGTTTTGTTGTTGTTCTCGTTTTAAAAAAAAATACATGTCAATTTTCACATTATTTTAACTTTATTGTGATCTGTTTGATGCAGTAGTATCTGAAAGAACTGTTATGATTTACTTAAGACATTATTTGAGCCTGAAAGGAAAGTGCTACATAACTTTTTGTATTTGGATAATGCTTCTATTAATCATTATTTAGAGATCTGTCCTTTAAATATGGCTAGGTATGGGGAGAGTCTCTTAACACAACTGACATATCTAGTTCCTCATTTATATAATTACCATGTTGATAATTTCTAGTAAAATTATGAAGTACTTTTTTTTAAAAAAAATTGTCAACTGTGAAATAATTGTATGATATTTGCCATTTGTATTTGAAAAGAAAAAGAAAAATATATATTGCTAAAGATTTGGCTTTTGATATGTTAATTAATACTTTAGAAATTTTTTAAGGAAGTTGGCTTTTTTTTTTTATATTTTTCTACATAGTGTTTTACAAGAGTGATTTTTTTTTTTTTTTTTTTTTTTTTTTTTTTTTGCCTGCTGGCTGGTAAAGGGATCCAAACCCTTGACATTGGTGTTATAACACTGTGCTCTAACCAACCAAGCTAACAGGCCAGCCCGAAGGTTGATTTTCAAATTGCTGCAGTGAAAAGGATTTCACAACAAATGGCAGCAGTGAGCAAAATATTGTTTCAAAGACCCTGCCTGAGTTAATCCCTCCTATATGCCTCGTGAAAAGGGTAGTATCCTAAAACATCGTTAATAATACAACAGTAAGGAAAAGTGGTGTCCTTCCATTAATACTTTTACTGTAATGTTACACTTTCTAAAAGGGCAGCCCCATTTAAATTTTGTGAGGCAGGCTTTTCTACTCTCCCCTCCCTTCTTCTAGCCTAGAAGTGGTGTCATCAGTTCTAACGCCAGCCCGACTCTGAGCCAGCATGGCCCCCCAAAAATAGTGAGATGAGAAAGAAGGTCAGTTGGCCGCTGATACACCTGGGCCTCTAGAAACAGAGTCTTACAGCATGCACGAGGCCAAGGGTTAGGAATACTGATTTGAGCATTGACCTTAAGGGAAACATCAGGCAAGTCTTTTACCACCATTTGCAACTTCCTATCTATTAATGAATGCTACTTTTAATCTTCATTATTATCAGTCAGTTTTTAAAGATATACCAAACTTGTTGGGGTCAAAAGGCTTCTTTTAATGAATTTATACAAGTACTACACAAGTTTTTGCTGACAATATGAACCAAAACAAATGACATATATATCAAATGACATATATCAAACCTAATAAGACATATTTTTAAATAAATTTAATTAATTTCAGAAAAGGGCTGTGTAATATTTATGCAGTGGAAGGCATCCTAGAACTCAAAGGGATAAGTATAAATCAAAGAAAGCATAGATCATGAACTTTTCTGTGGAAGGTGTCAGGGGACTTTTGTTCTCAGGATAGAAGAAGTGATGGGGAAGCAGGGAACACACAAGATTTTGTAGATGTTCTAGGACAGTAATTCTCAAAGGTTGTTCCCTATCCCCTCAGCAGCTGCATAATCTGGGAACTTCTGGAAAATGTAAGTTCTTGAGCCCACCCCAGGCCTCCTGAATCAGAAACTTCGTGAGTGGGATTCTGTGATTGTTTTATTTTGTTTTGTTTTTAATTGAAATATAATTATACATATTTGTGGAGTACAGAGAAAGAAAGCAATTGTTTTTGAACAAGCTCACTGGTGATTCTGATACACACTCTTCTAGGAAAGAATCATCAACTGGGAGGAGTGTGTGGTATTTATAGAAGCAGTTTTAATGTTTTAATATAATAATACCAAACTTTTCCAGTACCAACTTCAGAAACTAGAGTTGAATCTCCTTAGATGGTGGAGATTGTCCTCCATGAAAGTATTAATAATAATTCAGAAGACGAATGATATGAAAATGATGGCGGGGATGGACAAAAGTTGTGTGTGTGTGTGCGTGTGTGTGTCCAGTAGAATAGGAAATTTGAGAAAAACACAGTTTTAAGATGTTAAGAACATTGATATTTTTACCATGATCTCGTGTGCAACCTGCTTTTGTGGTAACATGTTTATCATGATGATCTTTCTATACAACTGAGATTTCCTTTGAAAATTGCTCTGCTGTTCAATCATTCCATCTGAAAATCAATGGGTAGACAGGATCTAGTGTCACCTGTGCCAAATCCATGACCATTCAGTGGTATGAAAGGTTATCTGAGAGCCATCATCAAAGACTGGGGTCAGTGATTTTTTTTGTTGTTTTAACTCTATTTTGAAAATCTATTTGTGGAAATTTTCAAACACATACAAAAGTAGAGAGAGTAGTATAATAATCCCACCTTTAACAGTTGTCAACTCATAGACAATCTTATGTCATCTGTGCTCTTATCTATCTGTATTCCCTCCACTGTGCTTATTTTATTTCGTCTACAAATATATCAGTAAATATCTCTAAGAGTTGAAGAGTCCTTTTAAAAACATAGTCACAATACATTATCAAATCTAAATTGCCATTGGCTAAATACTTCATACCTACTGCTATAACCCAAAGTCAATATTTATGGAGCTTATTGTGGACCAAGTCCTGTGCTAAATTCTTACATGCATTCATTTATATCACTCTTGTACTCCATGAGAAAGGAATTATTAGCCCCGTTTCACAGATAAGGAATGTGAGCATCAGTAACTCAATAAATAGCTTATCCAGAGTCAAAAGATTAGAAGATGGGAGACACAGGACAGGATTTATATCCAGGCCTTACCAACTTTTAAGCCCATATTTTGGTTTCTATTTTTTAATTGTGTTAAAATATATCTATATAAAACATAAATTTTACCATCTTAACCATTTTTAAATGTATAGTTCGGTAGTGTTAAGTACATTCACATTGCTGTACAACCAACCTCCAGAACTTTTTTCATCTTGCAAAACCAAAACTCTGTACTCAGTAAATAACAATTCCCCATTTCCTCCTGCCCCAGCCTCTGCTAACTTCTAACCTAATTTCTGTCTCTATGAATTTGACTACTATGGGTACCTCATATAAGTGGAATCATAAAGTGTTTGTCTTTTTGTGACTTGCTTATTTTACTTAGTGTAATGTCATCAAGGTTCATCTATGTTGCAGCAAGTGTCAGAATACTCCTCCTTTTGAAGGCTGAATAATATTCCATTGTATGGCTATTCCACTCTGTTTATCCATTCATCCATCGATGGACATTTGGATTGTTTCTACCTTTTCGGTAATGTGACTAATGCTTGCTTTGAACATGAGTGCTCATATTTCTCTTCAAGTCTCTGCTTTCAGTTCTTTTGGGTATTTACCCAGAAGAGGGATTGCTGGGTCATACGACATTTTTAATTTTTTGAGGAATTGCTGTACTGTCTTCCACAGCAGTTGTGCCACTTTATATTTCTACCAACAGCGCCCAAGGGTTCCAGATTCTTCACATCCTCACCTGCACTTATTCTCCATTTTTTTTTTTTTTTTTTCATAGTAGCCATCCTAATGGGTGTGGGCCAAGCTTGTGTTTTAAAGCCCAGTTCCATCCTGCCTTTCCCTTTTCAATTTCAGGAGTCTTATTTGATAACCTCTGGACAGTAGAAGTTATCCACCAGAGTAAATTCACACTGGATACAAAACATAAAAAAGGGGGCGGGGGACAATATGATGAGAAAATGGGCAATATGAATCATCTGTGTGTGTGCAGTTAAAAATGGTATTAAAGTTATAAGTCTGCCTTAGGAAGACAAGAGAATA